AAGAGTTGCAAGGTCTCACTAAACTGGAAGAAAGGTTGATATCTCCTCGTATTCCATTTATGCAGATAAAAGAATTACCCCGTGGTGGTCAAATTGCTATGCATGGAAATCTAGTAAATGTTCCAGCGGACGTAAATAAAACTGTCAAGCTTCTCCCAAGAAATATGAATGATAGTGAAACAATTCCACTAAAGCTAAAAAGAAGTGTGAACTTCAAAAGTCATATAACGTTTGAGCATGTCAGACCTGAAAAAATAATAGCAGCTGCCAAATGGTTAGTAAATAATAGCAGATTATTTCGTAATGAAGGTATATCGGTGAATACAGAGTGGAATGCAATAAATGAAGATACCTTAATGCAAGAAAAAGAAATTGTTAAAACTGTTCTTGATATTAATGATGAACCAAGAGATAAGCATGATAAGCATAACAGTTGTGAGGTGGATAGTGAGCAATGGTCAGAAGATGATAATGCTGTTTTGAAACCCTCTGGCAATTTTGATACAGTAATGCAACCAGCAGACTTTCGGGAATTTAATAGAATTCTTAGTGTTGCACCTGCAGAAGGAAATACGCCTCTAGGCATGTTTCAAGACATAAATGCTGAATTCCTCTCTTTTCCAACAATATACTGTGGTGACTCGAGACAAAATAACAATTCTAGAATCACACCTGTACATTACAGCACTATTTGCAAATGGGAATTAAGAAATGCTGATAGAAGAGTAGCTCAAAATATCACAAATATATTCTTTAAACTCAAGAAATTGCAAATCAAACAGATTTCAGATAAAGTGTCTTTAGCAGTAAGAAAATGTAAGTTGAATGGTAAAAAGCTAACAGTGAATGATGTACTTTCAGAGGGCTCTATTAACAACATTGTTAAACATAATGAAGGATATCGGGTATTGCGTACATTGCGTGGCTCACCACCTTACTGGGAAAAAACAAAAAAAGACATTTATTCTATGATTCGGCAATTAGGTATACCCACATGGTTTTGTTCGTTTTCGGCAGCAGAAACAAAGTGGAAAGCCCTGTTGCGTGTTCTAGGGAAACTAGTAAATAATGAAACCTACTCCGACTCGGATATTGATAATTTGACCTGGTTTGAGAAAAATGAACTTATAAAAAGTGATCCAGTTACATGTGCAAGGTATTTTGACTTTCGTCTGCAGATGTTTTTAAACAAAGTTTTAAAACATGAAAGTGCACCAGTAGGTAAAATAAAAGATTATTTTTTCCGCATTGAGTTCCAACAAAGAGGCTCTCCTCATGTTCACATCTTATTTTGGGTTGATGGAGCTCCAAAACTTGGTCTTAATACTGAGGAAGAGATTGGGTCATTTATAGATAAGTACGTTACTTGTAAGAAGAATGCCAGTATACCGGATTTAGTTAATTATCAAACCCATAGACATGCGCGTACATGTAGGAAAAAAGGCAAGTCCATTTGTAGATTTGGGTTTCCTCTGCCCCCTTTAGACAAAACTATGATACTAGAAGGATTAGAGGGTAATGAGAGCTCTGAAGAAGTTTGTGTAGCGCAAAGAAATTTTGACAAAATAATGGCTTTTTTAAACTGCCATAAACCTGGGGATGATTGTGATTTGAGTTTTGGGGATTTCCTGCAGGCAGTAAAATTGACATACAAGGAGTACATCTTAGCTTTAAGGTCAAACATAAAGACTGGTCAAAAAAAGGTGTTTCTTAAACGAAATGTGTCCGAAATCAGAATAAATAATTACAATGAATTGCTCATTAAATGCTGGGAAGCTAATATGGACATTCAATACATTCTTGACCCCTATGCATGCGCAGCATATATAGTTTCCTACATTTCAAAAGGACAACGTGGCATGTCCCATCTGCTCAGTAGTGCTTGTAAAGAGGCAAAGCATTCAGAAAGTGATATAAAACAACAGGTTCGTCAAATAGGAAATACGTTCTTAACTCACGTTGAAGTAGGGGCTCAGGAAGCATGTTACCTGGTGCTTCAGATGCCATTAAGAAGATCCTCTAGGGAAGTTATCTTTGTAGACACAAACAATGAGAATGATAGGGTTATTTTTGTAAAGTCCAAGTCTGCATTGGAAGATTTGCCAAAATCCTCGACTTCAATAGAATCAGATAACAATATTCACAGATATCAAAGAAGACCAGCATCTATGAATAAGTACAATTTAGCAGATTTTGTAGCTCTTTTTCATTTCAAAGCAAACAAATCTCCTCAAAGACAAAAAGAGGAAAATTCTGCCAATGAAGAATTGCCAGAAAGTTCTTATGATATAAATATTGAAGATGATGTTGAGTTGCCTGAAACGGATGAAATGGCAGAAGAACATGTATTTAAAGATGGTTCAGTCATGGTGAAGCGTTCTATTTCTAGAGTACTATACTCTGTTGGTTTCAATAAAGAAAATGATAGTGAAAATTTCTATCGAGAACAACTAATGCTGTACATTCCATGGCGGAAATATGCAGACATTTTGGGAGGGTATTTAAGTTTTGAAGCAAGGTACAGAGATAATAAGGAAAGAATTGAAACTAGTAGAAGGAATTATGTAGACGATTCTGCTGCCAATATTTGCCAACTTGAAAAGGAGTTTTTTTCTGATGAAGTAGAGGAGCCTGTTGTAACTGGATTGCAACATCAAAATGAATGTGATGCAAATGAAGGTCCTCGAGAGTCACGTGATTTTGGATGTTTTAATCCTGGAAAAACTCCAGATAATAGCCAGTATGATCTTGCATTAGATTTGAACATTGGAAGAAAGCAAATTTTAGAAGAGGATTATCTAACAGGAGAATTGAAAGATGATGATTTTAGAGAATTGGTTCAAAAATTGAATGTGAAACAGAAAGAGTTCTTTTACCATGTGTTGCACTGGATAAAAACAAAGAAAGATCCAATTTATCATTTTCTCAGTGGTGGTGCTGGTGTTGGTAAAAGTGTATTGCTTAGAGCACTCTATCAAGCACTGATAAAGTATTTCTCGCACAAAGCTGGAGAAAACCCTGATGAAGTGAAAGTTATAATCTGTGCACCAACAGGAAAAGCAGCCTTCAATGTTGGTGGATCAACAATTCATTCTGTTTTTAACATTCCTGCAGAACAAGGATTCAACTATAAACCATTAGATATGCAACAACTGGGAAGTTTTCAAGCAAAATTTAAGTCATTAAAAGTAGTATTTATTGATGAAATCTCAATGGTTGGGAGGAAAATGTTTAATTATATTAATTTACGACTTCAAGAAATAATGGGCTGTTTGACACCATTTGGGGGAATTTCAGTGATAGCATTTGGAGATTTGTTCCAATTAAAACCAGTGATGGATCAGTGGATTTTCAAATCTAATTTTAACAGTGAAAATCAGGAAATTTTGGCACCAAATTTGTGGGTTGATCATTTTCTTTTCTTTGAATTGGATCAAATTATGCGCCAAAAAGATGATATACTGTTTGCTCAGATTCTCAACAGGTTAAGAGAAGGTCAGCATTCTGTTGAAGATATTGACATTTTAAAGAAAAGAATAATGCAAGAAAATGAACAAACAAGAAATATGCCTCATTTATTTCCTACAAGAGCAGAAGTTTACAATTATAATAGGAATACTTTTGATCAGTTAGATGAATCAAGGAAAACAGTTATAGAGGCTATCGATACAATTTCAGGAGAATTGCCTATTATATTAACAGAAAAAATATTGTCAAAAGTCCCAGATGATGCAACAAAGACAAAGGGATTAATGAAGTATTTGTGTTTGGGTGAAGACCTTCCAGCTGAAATATGTGTCAATATTGATGTGATAGATGGTTTGACAAATGGCACTCCATGTGTTGTTAAAAAGCTAGACTTTCGAGTTCTTGACTCAGCTAGATGTAGCATTGTGTGGGTTAAGTTTTTCTCTGAAGATATTGGCAAAAAATGTAGATCGCAATTTAAACACTTGTTTAATAGTTGTATTTCATCTTCATGGACTCCAATATTGGAGATTACAAGAAAGTTTAATTTCAATTATTACAAATCTTTTTGCATAACACGACGTCAATTTCCATTAACCCTTGCAGCAGCAAAAACTGTGCACAAAGCACAAGGATGTACATTGGAAAATGCAGTTATTGGACTTGGGAGTAAAAAGATGGAGCACCTCTATTATGTTGCTTTAAGTCGTGTCCAAAATTTGTCGTCTGTTTATTTGTTAAACTTTGAGGAGAGATGTATTAAAATTTCAGAGTTAGTAGTAGAAGAAATGAATAGGTTGAGAACTTCAGCTCAAATTCTTGTATCTATTCCTATTTTGTACAGTCTTCCTCAAAATGTCATGTCAATTCTCTTTCAAAACTGTAGATCTTTAAAGAGGCACTTTGTTGATATAAGACGAGAGAAAAATTTGCTCACAGCAAATGTATTGGCCTTTGCTGAAACATGTCTGAACTCCACAGATAAATCTGAAGATTATGAATTAATGGGATTTGATTTATTTCGAAATGATGATTCTTGCTGTAGGGAAAGACCATATCATGGTACTGTTGTATATTCTCAATTTCTTCCAAATGTATTCAAAGTGGAAAATGTTTCAAAGGTAGAATTAACATATGGACATATCATACATGAAAATTCAAAGATAAATATCTGCTTTGTTTACTGCCCTCCAAAGATTGCATCGTTTGATCTATTTAAGAAAATTTTTGCTTATTTACACAGCAAATATGATCTTAGAATACCACATATAATCATGGGAGACTTCAATTTAGATTTTCATCATGTAAAAATGTTTCCGAATTATTTAAGATCGGCATATTCTCTGTACCAATTAATTGACTCTGCTACAACAAATTATGATTCAATCTTAGACCATATATATACAAATATTGATAAAAGTCGAATTCATTCCACTGGAGTGTTAGAGTCATATTTCTCAGATCATAAACCCATCTTTATTGCTTTGAAGTAATTTGCAAGAATTCTGTACATGTATTTTTTTTTAACATAGATGAAAACCCTTAAGGAAATTTTTGAGGACAGTGGGGCAGCGAGTGCACCATATAACACAGCACTGAAAGTCCAAATTTGTGGCTTAGGACAAACCTCTTCCTACAAAAATGCAAGTGGGGAGCAAAGGCAATCCCTGACCATGGGGATTGCTGACAGAACAATGGCAGCAAAAGGAATTTTGTACGATGTGTCAAAGGCCAGTTCGCTGAAAGTGGGGAGCACCGTGATGCTTCTCAATGTCATCGTTAAGAAGGAAAGTAGAAGCATTGTGATGACCAACAGATCTAAACTTCTAAAGACTGGCCCCTTTACAGAGGCACTACCAGCTCAGATAGTACAGCAAGGTCTGCAACTTGCCTGTCCTCCACCAGCTGAATTGGTGGCCATCAACAAGATCAAAACATCCCCCGTCAAGACCATGGTGTCCATCAGAGGGCAGGTGGTGTCTGTAAGTAACTCTCAATTTCAGTTGGCTACTTTAATATTTTATGACTCTCTCTTTCTCTCTCTTGATATATATATATCATGCAAATAAGATTTCTTTTCTTGCAGGAGGAAATGGAAAGGACTGTCAAAGTTAGTGGAGAAGACACAGCTGTAAGAAGTTTTAAAATCAAAGATGACACAGCTTCCTGCAAAGTATCTCTTTGGAGAGACCTAAGCAAAACAAAAACAGCAGTGGGGAGTCACTTTGAAATTACGAATGTCATTGTGCAGGTGTACAATGACGAAAAGTCGGTGTCCACCACATCAAGGACCAAGTTGCTGGTAAGGATAACTTCTATGTGCAACATGTTTAGTAAATTTTTCATTGTCTTTTATATTGCTGTTTACTTGGCCAAAAATATTGATTACTTAAAAATACATATTTTTATTACATTTTCAACAGTGAAATACTGTGATTTATTCATTGAATAAAAGTGATATTCTCTCACAGTGTGAAAGGATACCAAAGTTATATTCTTTCACAGTGTGAAAGGATATCAAAGTAAGTAAAATATAATTTCTGGCCTGTAATAAGATTGAGAAAGAATTAAACCATTTTGAATGAGACTAAAACTGCCAATTTCTTCCCAAATATGTTGCTAAAATCCATATTACAATGTTTTTAATCTCAAAACTGCTAAGGTATGGCGTCTCAACTGCTCAATTATGACGTCGCAGCCTATGACACAGTGTTAAGAAAAGACAGAGACAAAGAGAAAATCAAAGAAAATGTAATAAACAGAAGATTCAATGTTTTGTAGTTGAATATGGAATTTATTTCACTCGTGAGACAGGATTTTTTTGATATTTTCACTCGTGCTTCGCACTCGTGAAAATATCAAAAAATCCTGTCCCACTCGTGAAATAAATTCCATAACTAACTACAAAACATTGAATATCCTCTATATATATCTATTTCGCACTGGATTAAATATAGTCTCATTCTCTAAAATATCATTGGTCACCAATGGTTGGTGTACACTTTTCATATTTAATTATTGTAGCCAATTACTGCCCCAGATGTGAAGAAGAGAGTTGCATTCATAGCCTTTGAGGTGGTAGACAATGGATTCTTTTCCCTAACAGGAGATCTGGATGATGGAGATTATCCCGAGTTTCTGATCAAGACTGGCCTCCTTGCGAAAGCTCTTCAATGCCAGCCAAAAGAAGTGGAAGTTCGCTTGTTGTCAAAACTGCCACTTAAAGCAGATATAATTATCAAAGAAAAAGAGGTCAAAGAGATCCAGATTCAGCCTCAGTAATGTCATGTTGAACTTGGGATTCAGGGATGTACTGTAAAATGATTCAGAATTTTGCAAAGTTTTGTTTGTTTATTTTTTTTCATATTCTTCTTTTTATGTTTGAGTTCAAGTTCATTTTACCTCCAAGATCTTGCCATTTTCAGCAAAATTTTTGATACCTCTTGAATCTATGGAGATTTTTTGAAATGTGCAGTGTTTCCTTTTTACAGTAATATTGCTTTTGTATATGTTTGTCATGATGTAAAAGGTAATAGAAATAGAAACTTAGTAGTGAAATATTTTTGATTGATATTTGTAGATACTTGGTAGTTAAATCTTAGGGATAATTATAGAAATGGATGAAATTATGTTTTTCAATGTCAAATTTGCCTTCAAAGTAAACTTCATGCAGTGAAGAACATGAATTCTATAGTTTTAACAGTTTTAATGTTTTGATCATTTTCTGTTTAATTTTGTGGGGTACAGCACTTCTGAATATAGACCATCATGAGAGAACTGAAATTTGAGTGTATTTAGTCCTCATGAAGTTGAAAGTTTTTGTTTATTTTCTTTTTAATCTGTTCCTCAGGCCCTTAAGTACTCCGGTTTTGCAGAATTTTTTATTTTTTTTTTTTTTGGATAAGTTGAAACTTTTCTCCGTTTTATCCAAGGGCAATTTTATAATTGTTTAATTTGAAATATAGTGAAAGAAGCATTGAATGTATATTTAATATTGTTTTGTAAATTTTTTCTTGAGGTAGGGATTGATTTGAATGAAATTGTAGGTTTTAGTATCTGTTATAAATATTGCTTATTCTCTTTTAAATTTTTCTGACACAGGACAGTTGAAATTTTGACTGATATTTGAATTAATTTGTATGATATTTTTATTTCTGAAGTATAAACTTGTCTTTGACTGCAGCTTCCGTTCTTTCTGAAAAATGTGTTTGACTGCAGCCTCCTCCTCCCTTTTTTTTTTTTTTTTTTTTTTTTTTTTTTTGAGAAGGATCATTGCTGATGTTTTAATATGATGCACGGAATATACTTTAACATTGAATTTGTAAATATTCTTGTGATATGGAAGTAGATTTATCTTTTGATAAAGGTCAGTTAAGTTTAAACTTTTTCATTTTTAATTAGACAGTTTCATTAAATGTCAAATGCAGTATTGGCTGAAGTCCCCCTCCTTTTTTTTTTTTTTTTTTTTTTGAAAAATCATTGCTGAAGTATTAATATGTTGCATGGAATATACTTGTAACATTGAATTTGTAAATATTCTTGTGATATGATTTAGAAGTAGATTTATCTTTTGATTAAGGAGTGTTAAGTTTAAACTTCTTCATTGTTAATTAGACAGTTTTATTGAATGTCAAATGCAGTATTGATGTGAAATTTCAAGCTCCACTGAAAGGAGATACTACATAATTCAATGAATTGTTTTGGAGTTTCTTAAGCATTTTTTGTGGTGTCAACATTGCTTGTGTGTACAGCATATCTTAAATATCAGATTTGGAATTAGTATTTTTCAAAAGTCTGATAACCTTATCCCTCTTCAATACAATACACTCCAAAAAATTCTACATGCTTGACAATGCATTTTGTAAAAAATCCTTGCACTCAGCTTTTTTTCATTTGTGAAATAAATTTCAGTTTCCATTCATTCTTCATATTTTTATCATTATCCTTTGATAAATTTATCAAATCCATCAAGTCATACCAATCACTCAAATATTGTGCCTCTATTCAGAGACTTCCACATTGAGCATTAAAGAATACTGTAATCTTGTGCCAAATTTACTAATGATCTTTCATGCCATACACTAACTGTTTATAGTGCCCATAAAAAATATTGTTTTCATTTTATACAGAATACTACATTTGTTACCTTGTGCCAAATTTACTTGTCATATTTATCACTGTAAAAACTGTTCATCCTTAAGCATATTTTTTATTATTGTTTTATGTACACTTCCTTGTTGAGTTTTGAAAGAAATATTTGATCATATTAAGAAAACTTAATACCTCATATGTATGCCACTATGTAAGATGTTAGCAGATAAAATATTTCCTGCTTCTTTAAAAGATGAAAATGGTGTTCAACTGTATTGTTTGCATTTCTAATATTTGAAAATGCCAACTGCATACTGTAATTGGAATATTTTACAAACATTTCACAAAAATATCTCAAATTTTGTTTTGGTTATTTTTTTTTTGCTTACATTTGATAAGCATGACATTCCACAACATGCTCTAATTTTTATGACGTCGAGCTCTTGGAGCTCGAACGTCATCTAGCGATCGGCCAAGTGAAATCGCCAAGGGATGTACGCGACCGAATGTGTCAGTGGATGCATCCGCAATAGAAAATAGCAATAGCTATAAACCAATTTCTTTTAACACGCTCACAATGAATAATTATAGCTTGAAAATGAAATTGCATCAATTGTATCTACAATTAATTCTTTTACAAAACAACGATATTATGTTTTATTTTCACACAATAAAAACGTGATGGTTGTTGCGGATGAATTTCTACAGAAAGGTGCGTCGATATGACATGAATAACATTTTGGAATGATAACCGTGGAACACAAACAACCCAACAGGCGGTAAAATAATTTACAAAATTACATAAACACGAATACTATAAGACTGAAAAGATTGAATTTGTAAATCTTAGCTTTACTTTTACAATCTTCTGACCAACTTTATCCTAAAAACCGATGATGTTGACCAGTATTACTGTATTTCTCCATTTCCTCCAATATACCACCCCCTATCGTAACTCGATCGTACGTGTAACAGAGTAGAGTCATGGTTGTAGTTTAGATGCAATCACCAAAACAACGCTTTGACATTGGCAATTAGAAAGAATAATATATAAATTCATGAAGTCCTTCATAGTTCTTCAATTGACTGAAAAGATATTAGTTTGATATTTAGCATGAACATGTTCGATGGTGTCTGGTCAATTCGAACCCTGCTCCATTCGGACCATGACATAAGGCCCCAGACTGTAATTGTGACATTTTGTTTAAAACTATTTTTTTATTATTATTATTATTATGTCACCTGAGTCACTCACTCGACCTATTGCTATCTTCAGATTCTTTTGAAATTATTTTTCTTGTTCGACGTCATTGAAGCCTTTCAGGCTTTTGATTTTATATTTTCACTGGTGCTTCACATTCGTGAAAATACTTAAAAAAAATATATTGAATATCCTCTATTTAAATAATAAAAGAGATGACAAAAAAAGAAAATGAGGATGGAAATTTCCAGTGACCCCCCCCCCCCCCCCCCCACCACACACATTTTTGGTTGCAGTATGGTCAAATCTTTAGCAGTCAATGTATCCAGAATTATTTCTATGGAAAAGAGAAACTCGGAAGTTAATACCCCTACAGCTCCCCCCTCCACCCCACCCCATAATAGGTTTTTAGATTTTGGTCAATTTCTGCACATTTATGTTGTCAAAGTATTGCTTTGACACTTGACAAGTGTACTACTTTTATACCATTTGTCACACTTGTCACTTTTTGCTTTCATCCTGCCCTGCCCCCCTCTTCCCCCCCATCCCCCCTTCCTCCTCCACTTTTTAAAACCATTTTAAGTGTTTGTCCGATGGAGACGAACTTATAGTCATCTAAAATGTTTGATCTCTGACATTTCAACAAAGTACTACAGTCCCTGAAACGTTCTACTTTCCCACTTGAACGGTGAGCGAACGCTGAACGAACGGTGAACGAACCCTGAACGAACGCAGAGCGAACGGTGAGTGAACAATGTGTGAACGCTGAACGCAACTTGGTGAACGATGCGTGAACGCTGAACGGTGAGCGAGCGCAGAACGCGAACGGAGCGCAAACGCGAGCGCAAAGTGAACGGTGAACGAACGGTGAACGCAAGATGAACGATTTATTCGGAATGCCTCTGATCTTTTCCTTGCATTGAAACTATTCTATTGTATTCTTATGCCTAGTTCTAAAAAAAAAAATAATAAATAAATAAACAAATCAATGAAAATTGTTCTAGGAAAGACGATACATGCACATTAAGTGAAATTATTAATTTAAGTTTCTTACAATATTTTCTGCACATATGTACGATGTTTAAATTCATTTTTTTAATAACACGCTGTAAAACATTGTAATTGTTACCGAACGCTGTAGTATAACAGATGAAATTAATCTAGTTGTAAAATAAATATGTTTATTCTTATTTGATATATAAAACTATTTCAAATAATGTGGATTTTAGAAGAGAAAACTATGGACTTATAGAATGAATTACAACGGTTGTAACAGCCATACAAGGGGATTCCATGTGAAATAAAAGTTACGGTGAAAAATATCATTACTGGAGAATCACCTTGGTTATACAAATGATAATCATGTTATAATGGCATTTCTCTCTCTCTAATTAAAGACTTTATATATGTAAAGTAGAAAAAAATTCTTTAATGTATTACAATTTAAACAAATATTTTTTTAAACCACACTATCAATTTAATTCGCTCTAAAGATATTTAATTAACTGGATATCTGCAGTACTGTTTATCATTCTCAGAACAAGTTCTTACATGTATTTCTGTATTATTTGAAAAAAAAATGTGATAGAAATAAATATTTTCGTATTTTTGCTGCAGTTGGTAAATTAATTGATTTCGATTATTATCTATCCATTTACGATTTGTCGTCTTTAACATCAAAGAAAAATGTTGCAGTACTTGAAGTATCAGTATTTTGACCGTATTTAAATTTAATTTTTCAGCATCGCTCTACATACATGTAGGTACATACATGTACTTATAACAACATTTATTTTCCAGTAAAATTTTATAAATAACCTAACAGCTAAGTTACAACAATAAAAATAAATATTGTAGATAATTTTTTTCCCATGAAATAATGATTCTTTAAACACGGTATGTTATTTATTAAAATCAAAACCTGTAAATCCTTACTTAAAAAAAGATAAGTCCTTTCACTTCGGAGTTCCAAATGACACTGAAGACTGAACGATAAGTGAACGCTGAACGCAAAGTGAACGAACGAAGAGCGAACGTTGAACGCTTTGTGAACGGTGAACGCGAGCGCACGTTGAACGCTGAACGCAAAACTGTGAACGGAGAGCGAACGGTGAACGCACGCTGAACGAACGGTGAACGCACGCTGAACAAACGGTGAACGAACGGTGAGCGAACGGAAAAATGGGAAAGTAGAACGTTTCAGGGACTGTACTAAGTGTTATTTACAGTGAAACTTTGTTAACTCGAATCCTCAGATATTTCTAAGTTTTATTTGGTCCAATCACGTTTAAGATAATGAGCGTTGACTGTATATATATTATGGGGGTATGTCCTGTATATCTTGTACTGATGAAGGTTAACTTGAGAATGACACAATAAAATATCCTGAGAGAAAGAGAGAGAAGGGAGCCCCCCCCCCTTTTTTTTTTTTTTTTTTTTTTACAATTTTTCTTTCTGAATTTTTAAACAATTGAATATACAATACGTACATTTTCCCTGATTTCATTTAAAAAAGAAATTCCATAACATGGTAGGTGAGTAAAGCAACTTGATATGTTTTTATTAGAAATATTACTAAAGATCTTATTTCCCAATGAATGAGGTTAAGATCAAACACAAAACGATGGAAATGTTCCTAAATGATTTGGACATCGGGATCGATATGCCTCTCGTTCCTCAATACGGATACAGATACTTATACGGATACGTTAGATAGAACAATCTCTAATACTAAATAAATAAAACTTGTTTACTTATTTAATTGCCATACACTTTGTGTCTATCCTTCAGTCTTTCTGTCTGTTTCTGTCTGTGTCTCTCTCTCTCTTCACAACCTTAATAAATATTCTTCAACACAATATATTGATGACAAAATGTACAAATGTTCACTGTACATATTGTCATCGAAGACAAAATTTGTCAGTACGCGACAGTACATTTTTTTGTCCATTATGCAAGAGGAAAAAAGGCTCATCTTGGTACATATTGTGTTGGCAACGATATGTGCAGATGGGTGACAATATGTGCAGTGATGGTAGGTACATATTGTCGATGATGACAGTATGTACAGAATGACAATATGTACTGTCAAATGGGGCTACAATATGGGGTTAGAATTTTTCATGTGATTAAAGATAGAATTTTTTAAAAAAAATCTTACAATGAAGAACAGGAGGACCAGGGGGAGCATTGTGGCCTGTGGGCCTCTTGTAAATTATCTCATGATGTAGCTTCTTATATTCTCTCTTTTGATTAAAATATGATACAAATGTAAAGTCTTTCTTTGTCAAATTTCACTCCATGATTGGAAGGTTGTGTGTTCGAATCACGGCCGCGACTGACCTAATGTCGATAAAAAATAGGTAGCAACTGTTTCTTCGCCAAGTGCTCAGCACTTTAAGTGAAAGTTGTGGGTCCTTGGGACAAGACCTTAGAAAAACTGAGGCCCTGTGTCATGGTAGGCGTTGGCACAATAAGAACCCTCACTACTCAATGGTCCTGAGTGCCAAGTAAAGGTCAAAATTTGAAGCCCTTCATGGGTATATGATGATGTCTCTATATGAGTGAAAATTCTCTAACGGGATGTAATACAGCATACAATCAATCAATCAATCTTTGTCAAACTTAAACAGCTGTCATTTAAATTTGAAGAGAAAGGTATTTGAAATATTTTGACACAGAATTAAATTGTAAAAGTGAATAATAATAGAGATGTGGGAATTCTTTACTTTGATGTGGTTAGGAAGCATTCAATTTAGATATTGAGATGTAACGTTTTCATCTGATTTGTAGACTGAATGTCAACCAGAGCAGTGTTCACAAATGACAGCTACAGAGCAATGGATATTTTTATGTGCTGCTCATAAAACACCCAAAGAGGTACATGTGCTTTACCTTAACTATGATTTCCTTTTTATGAAATAAATAATGATAATCTGTATCAATAACCGACTTGTCGAAATTTTGAAATCACTGTCAGACATTTGGTCTGACAAAGTCAAATGTTCTGTTGGACTGGACAAAGTTTTGTCAGACCAGATACATGTACTTTATTTTGACGCTGAGAAAGAAAAATAAATAACTGCACTAAAATGCCCTTTATTATTTTCAACAGCCTTCAATCTCACAACTTTCTTTTCTTAGAGTCTTTAATCAGAGACATAAATGGCACGTTTTATGTCTTTGCTGTAACAAATTTAATTGACCATCGTCACCACACGGCCATTTCTGCTGTTTTTGTGACCTTTACCTGCGCACCACGATCCCGATCTTTTTAAAATTTGCTTCACTCTCGATTTTTTTCAAACGGTCATTTGACTGACATTTTCTTGAGAGTTATTGGTCCAGACAATTTTTTATTGGCCTTGCCGACAGGACTGACGGATTTCGACAAGTCTGCAATAAATGGAAGTCATATGGCTGTACAACTGCACTGATGGTAAAAAGTATAGCTGTAACTGAAGTGATTGTAAGAGTATGGCTGTACATAAGGAGATAGATATTAATATGTTTTGCTGATGTCATAAGTTGCTATTAAATGTCAAGGTATTGATTTCAGTGTCCAGCCATTGACTACACCAGACACACACTGGATGGAGCAGCATGTCTACTTAACAGTAACAAATATTTCCCCAGCAGGTACATCTTATTTAAGCTAAACAAGACTCATACATAAGCATACACCATATTAGTTTTCCCATCTCTGATATTAGCACTGGGGTATACCCTTTACATTCTTTACACCTGACTGCTTTCTTGTCATGAGTATATACGTGGAATGGACAAATGTTTTGTGTTGGTTATCTGATGCCCTGTTCACACGGAGAGTTTAATTCCAGTGAAACGTAAGTAGTGTACTGTGAATTAAATTTGAATCATGTTCACATGGAGAATTTAATGCGAATTAGTTTAATTCGAAATAATTTAATTTTGTTTGTATTCTAGCGTCTGATTGGTTAATATCCAAAAAGGAACACAAATTATTTTTGTATAACCTGGTTTGGTATGGGGGGCCCCCCCCCCCCACCCCCGACAACCAGCTGAATCATCTGTATCCATACAACACTCTCATTTCCAGTCCTCGGGATTCATGGAAAATTCCAGATTTAATAAATGTACCATTAACTTCAAACAATAATTCAATCTTACCACATGTAAACAAACAACAAGGCTGCTAGGCCTATGTATCAGTTTTTACCTCCCCTCACTTCCCATCACTTCCGTTACTTCCGTAACTACGGTTGTAATATTGAGCGGCAAATTTGAACTAATAAAATGCAACAAAATTTTACACCCAGTTATTTAATGATTTTAAAATTAAATTATAAGGAATGACTTTAATCCTTGGCCAAATTATTCGAGTATAACCTGATTTGGGTCAGTTTACGCGAAGCGGATTTTAAAGCGTAAACTGACCCAAACCAGGTTATACTCGAATAATTTGGCCAAGAATTAGAGTCATTCCTAAATTAATTTACTGTGCATCAAATTACCCCTCAATAGCTTTGTGTGAACACTAAGCGAAGCTAATTTGAATTAAATTCTGACGCATGTGTAATACCAAAATTAAGCCACCTGCCACATGTTGGTCATCAGATATTAGTACTTAAGCTATTTTTTAGTGAAAAAGAAAAATTTAGTGTATCATTAAACATTTGTACAGACCCTGTGATGTTATGTCATATGTAATCTGCTCTGCATAAGGGGATGTGCTTTGCAAATGACGTCATAATAGACTTTCTATATAGAAAAGAAATTTAATTCGCATTAGTTAACTTCGCATTGACTGTTGTGTGAATGCAATTTAATTCGCATTAGTTTAATTTGCATTATTTTACTTCCAATTAATTTACTGCGAATTAAATATTTAATGTGCATTCGTGTGATCAGGGCATTATATTACCTTTTGTTTACATGTTATTGTATTTGTGTATTTGTATTAATTTTTACTGAACTTACTTTACTGTAACTTACATCAAGAATAGTGGTATGAATTATCTAATTAATAAGAAGTAATCCAAAATGGCTGACCAACAAAATGCTTGCTTTTATATCTAGAAACATGAAATAAAGAAAATGATTTTGATCACAAACTTTGGATTTTTTACTCTGGGAATACTTCCAATATATATGGGGAAGATGCAGGTTTATTTAATTGGGATTCCTGCTGAATTTCAGCCCCAGGTGAGCCCTAAAATTTAGTGACATGCAGTCATTTAAACACTGTTTATTTTGAAAGGTAGATAACCAAAACTGGAACTAATTGATAAATTTGCTAGTATATAATTTAACTCACTCGCTAAAATGTATCTTATGGTCACATTTAGCACGTATTCCCACTTAATTTTGAACCCTGCTCTTGTTATCTTTACAATTTACAACAGCAAAAATGGTGGGTGCCAGTAGTCAAATCTCAGGAATTTGGATGACAAAACCCACAAGGGAACCTTATGCTCCCACTTTTGAAATATTTTGACCTGAAAGAAAACTTAAATATTTTGATAGGTATAATTTTTTTACAGAAATTTTAAGTTGGGGAATACCACATACCTGGCGAATCATTTGAAATGAAAACTACAATGGATCAACTACATGTTTTAAAGTTTGAACAAAATGAAAATAAAACAATAGGTCACAGCTTACAGTCCCTGAAACGTTCTACTTTCCCATTTTTCCGTTCGCTCACCGTTCGTTCACCGTTTGTTCAGCGTGCGTTCACCGTTCGTTCACCGTGCGTTCACCGTTCGCTCTCCGTTCACAGTTTTGCGTTCACCGTGCGCTCGCGTTCACCGTTCACAAAGCGTTCAATGTTCGCTCTTCGTTCCGTTCATTTTTCGTTCACCTTGCGTTCAGCGTTCACCTATCGTTCAGTTTTCATTGTCATTCGGAACTCCGAAGTGAAAGGACTTATCTTTTTGTAGTTAAGGAGTTACAGGTTTTTTTAATTTATTAACTAACATATCGTGTTTGAAGAATCATTATTTCATGAGGAAAAATATCTACGATATATATTTATATTATTCTAACTTAGATGTTAGGTAATTTATTAAATTACTCTGGAAAATAAATGTTGTTACAAAATATAATAGAACTAGTTCTGAGAGTTATACATAGTACTGCGGATATCCTGTTAATTTATTATCTTTAGAACGAATTAAATTGATAGTGTGGTTAAAGGAAATATTTATTTAAAATGTAATGCACTACAGAATTTCTCTACTGTAATATGTAAAGTCTATAGTTATAGAGAAAAAAAATCTTTCTTCACCGTAACTTTATATATTTGCCATTCGATATGATTAATACCCCCCCCCTTTCCCCCTAAATCGGTGACTTAGTCAGTACTGTATTTCCAGAATATTTTAATTAACATTTTAAAAAAAAGCTACGGTCTTTTTTAGAACAAAAATTTCAGTCTCAAAACAAACATGCATCTAAAAAAGTCACAAAACAATAGTAGATCAAAATGTACACGTGTCGGCGGTGGTATTTGAAATTGGCAGAGAGTATGTTTCACATTCAAGTGTTAATGCCCAATGTATTTTACTAATTTATTATTCAAATGTTGGAATCAAATCTAGAAATGATAAAAATAAATGTTATAACTTGTTGGAAATACTCGCACTTCGTACTTCGATGTGACGAAACTTTAACACCTGCACAGTGTCGAATGATTTTGATTGACAGGACAAGCACGTGGACTTCGTGTGAACTTGAAGCAGGAAAATAAAAACGAGTATGACTGTCAACCAAATGGATAGGATTTGTTGATAAAAAAAAAGTTACTTTCACTGTCTGATATATTTAGAAAAAAATTTCAGAGTTTTTGTTTGATATAGGTACAAACATTTGGTGAAGCCTGAAAGGAGGGGGGGGGGGGGCTAAAACTGAATATTACTCTCTCTCTCTCTCATTTGTCTGTTTAATAAAAACTATAACACCATATTACTTAATTATCAAGTTCTGAAAATTGAATTTATAACAAATAATATGAATATGTATCTTTGTATCATCTTGTCCGAGTATAATCACGGCCATCTAGAGATACATGTAGACGTCTGCTCAATAAATCATAATAAAAAATAGAAATGACACATAATATATTATTGTATTAAAAATTTAAAATACGAGCGTATAAATGTAATTAATTTTTTTTCATTACTTTACACGAAATCGCCTTGACATGGAGATACATATATGAGTATAAGTTACAACCGCTTTAATTCATTCTATAAATCATAAGTTTTCTCTGATTTGTTATCAACTCAGAATAAACATTTTTATTTTCCAACTAAAAATAATATCTTTTATACTTCAGCGTTCGGCAACAATTGCAATGTTTTAATGCGATAAAAATCGTGTGATTAAAAACTTAATGTGCATGCATCGTCTTTCTTATGACAATTTTGGAGAATTTATTTTATTGACTTATTTATTCATTCATTTATTTGTTTGCTTATTTATTATTTGTTTTGTTTTTTTTGTTTGGCACCTGACATTATAATACAATAAAATAGTTTCAATGCAAGAAAAAGATCAGAGGCATTTCGAATATATCGTTCATCTTGCATTCACCGTTCGTTCACCGTTCACTTTGCGTTCGCGTTTGCGCTCCGTTTGCGTTCTGCGTTCGCTCACCGTTCACACATCGTTCACCAAGTTGCGTTCAGCGTTCACACATCGTTCACTCACTGTTCGCTCTGCGTTCGTTCAGCGTTCGTTCACCGTTCGTTCAGCGTTCGCTCAACGTTCAAGTGGGAAAGTAGAACGTTTCAGGGACTGTATTTCCAATCAAGGCTAACAGAGATTGAGGCATGAAAGAGATAGGACTGTAGCCAAAGATAAAGACAGTGATCAACTATAAAATAAATTTGCATAAAAAATCATAAAATAGATACAAAGCAAGCTCAGTTGTGCTTTAAAATGTTACATGTGCATAAAAATTATTAGAGAGGTAGTTCCCAAATTGAAATGAAGTAGCAATATGTTCACTTGTCTATCCAGAAATATTTTCAATAAATATCTAAGCTATTAAAATTTACAAACAAATTTTGCAATCAATGAAGTTCTGTTTATTTTTTGTTTTATCAGAGCTTTTAATAAATGTTTATCTACCCCCAGACCACAATATCTTACTTGGTGATTTGTAGGGAAAAAATAGTAAAAAATCTTTTTTTCAAGAACAGCAGGGCCAAGGTCAGTCATATCAATATGCAAGCATACTAAGGTAACCAGATTTAAGTTGTTCATATCCTGGCTTTAGTGGGCTGGGTTGGGGTTATAAAAAGTCAAAGCTTACATTAGAAGAAAGATAGAGGAAAATTTAAAAGTTCAATAGAAAATATTGTAATTTGTATGATATTACAGTCACTGTATTGTAATAGGAATCACATAATACATATTGTACCATACCACCCTTTTGTTTTTTCAGGGTTTGTATAAAGGAGTCATCAGTAAACAAGCTGGGTTCTGTATGTAGAAGGGTATACAGGATATTCTCTCATGCCTACTTTCATCATAGAACCCTATTTGATGAGTATGAGGTAGAATTTTGATTACTTATCACTGATTTTTATACCTCCAAAAACAAATATTGGGAGGGTACATTTGGTATTGTCATGTCTGTCTGTCTCTCCATCTGTTTGTAGACTTTTTTCCAAACTCCATAGAATACCAAGTACCATTCCTTTTTTAAAGATTGATTTATCAATTTTATAATAAAGATTAGACATTTTTAAATAAAAAATAACTATTGCATGAATGAGGAGTGAAATAAATGAAACAGATGTTTTTGTGAAACACTGATGCTCCCATATGGCAGCCCGTGGCGAGGATTAAAGTTTCTTAAATGCAAATCAAACTCCAAAGTGAAGATATCAAAAATGTTGGTACTCAAAGAAAATTTGTGTCAAAAGGAATACAGCTGTGAAAGATGAAAGCCCTAGCACCAACTGTTTAAAAGTTATGACCAAGGTTAAAGTTTTCTAAAAGTAGGTTAAACTCCAAGGTCAAGGTTAAAAGGTCAGTATTGTTGGTACCCAAAGGAAGGTCTTGCCACAAGGAATATACATGTGAAATATGAAAGCCCTTGCACCAACTGTTCAAAAGTTTAGGCCAAGGTTGAGGTTTTAAAAGTAGGTCAAGCTCCAAGGTCAGAGACAAAAGGTCAAAACTATTGGTACCTTAGGGAAAGACTTATCACAAGGAACACACATGTGAAATATGAAAGCCCTAGTACCAACTGTTTAAAAATTTTGACCAAGGTTAAAGTTTTCTAAAAGTAGGTCAAAATCTAAGGTCAAGGTTAAAAGGTCAAAATAGTTGGTACCCAAAGGAAGGTCTTGCCTCAAGGAATATACATGTGAAATATGAAAGCCCTTGCACCAACTGTTCAAAAGTTATGGTCAAGGTTGAGGTTTTTCAAAGGTAGGTCAAACTCCAAGGTCAAGGTCAAAAAGAAAATTATTGTACCCAAGGAAGTGTCTTATCATAAGGAACACACATGTGAAGTATTTCACCTGTGTATTCCATGTGACCAGACCTTTCTTTGGGTACCCACAGTTTGACTGTTTGACCATGTAGCTTGACCTGTTTTTGGAAGAAATCATTTTCAACCTTGGCAATAACTTTTGAACAGTTGGTGCTAGGGCTCTCATATATCACATGTGTATTCCCTGTGACCAGGCCTTTCTTGGGGTACCAACATTTTTTGGCCTGATGACCTTGATGTTTTGAGTATGATCTACATTAGGAAAGAACTTAAACCTTGGTAGTGTTAAATCTAAAGCATACTAGCAGGGCTTGATGCCATGCCCTTTTTTCTCAGCACCATGTCCTTTTTTTCCAGCGCCATGTCCTTTTTGCTTGCCAAAAATTAAAAAATGCCCAACAGTGGTGAGATTGACTAGCTGTTCTGTTTATTCAATATTCAGTGCATGCTGATTAGGAAATCTCTTCTCACTTGAACGCACACAGCCACCTGGCCAGGTAACATGGCTCAGGCAGTTAGGGGATAGGATCAAGTTCAAGTTCGTTTATTCTAGGGATGTCAAATCGGTCAATTTTTGATAATCGGTTACTCGGATGTTTTTCCAATCGAGTACCCGGGTACTCGGTAAAAATGAAAATACAACTGTGTTAATTTTCTTGAGCCCCGTTAAGCTCTTTTAAACCCCAACGCTGTTTTTATCACGTTTATAAGTGTATATAAACAATGGAGTGCAAGGGAAATGAATTTTGGTACTGAAATTATTTATAAAATAAACACAAAAGACACAATTAATACATCAAAAATTTACAAATGGTTTACATTTCTTGTTTAGATCTATTTCATCAACGCAAAAAGAAGGACAATCTGTTGCGCAGGTTTGTGGTGATTAACTAGCGAAAGGGAAGGAACGGACGTTGTTTTGATCGCTAGTCTAATACATGTATTATTCCATGTGTTGGTTGTTCCCCCCCATATACACTAAACTTACTACGGCAACTGACTTTCAACATTTTTTAATCTTAAGTTATTTCTAAATATTTCTTCACTTTTGAAGTGGGTAGCTTCATTTTTATGCATTTCCAACCCTGCCGTATATTAATTAAATAATTTAAAAATGATTTGGAAATAATAGACCATACGTAAACGATGTTCACTGAAAACAATCATTAAAGCCATCCAAAAATTAAGGACCACAATAGGTGGGAAAAGCTGTGTAACAGGTGATTGTTCACTAATTACTGTATGTAGACAACGACATGCTAATTACCGTATGCATATTTAAGTTATTTTTTGATAAGTTTTTGATAAAAATATGTATTTTGAAATAAGAAAAAATAAACATCCAAGTAACCGAGTACCATTTTTAGTATTCGATACTCGGACATTCGATCGAGTACCCGGTTAACCGGGTACTCGTTGACATCCCTAGTTTATTCACTAAAAACCGTGTAAATATATGGTACATGAGGACAAGGAAAAATATTTACAGCATATAAATTCAGGTCAGAGGTACAAGTATATGATATACATATTCAGAAAATGAAAGTGAAAGAGGACAATAAAGAAGAAAAAAAGATCAATACTTATAATACATACAGTCCCTGAAACGTTCTACTTTCCCACTTGAATGGTGAGCGAACGCTGAACGAACGGTGAACGAACGGTGAACGAACGCAGAGCAAACGGTGAGTGAACGATGTGTGAACGATGTGTGAACGCTGAACACAACTTGGTGAACGATGTGTGAACGGTGAACGGTGAGCGAACGCAGAACGTGAACGGAGCGCAAACGCGAGCGCAAAGTGAAGGGTGAACGCAAGATAAACGATTTATTCGGAATGCCTCTGATCTTTTCCTTGCATTGAAACTATTCTATTGTATTCTAATGCCTGGTGCTAAATAAATAATAAATAGATAAACAAATCAATGAAAATTGTCCTAAGAAAGACGATACATGGACATTAAGTAAAATTACTTTAAGTTTCTTACAATATTTTCTGCACATATGTACGACGACGTTTAAATTCAACTTTTTGATAGTACGATTTTTATCGCTGTAAAACATTGTAATTGTTACCTAACGCTGTAGTATAACAATGAAATTAATCTAGTTGTAAAATAAATATGTTTATTCTTATTTGATATATAAAACCATTACAAATAATGTGGATTTCAGATGAGAAAACTACGGACTTATAGAATGAATTACAATGGTTTTAACAACCATTTAAGGCGATTCCGTGTAAAATAATGAGAAAAAAAAAAATTTTACAAAGGTATGTGGACGTATAGCAAAAATACACTCGTATTTTAAAATTTTAATGCAATAATATATTTATGTGTCAGTTTTATGTTTTATGATGATTTATTGAGCAGACTTCTACATGTATCTGCAGACATTTCCCGGCCATGAATATGTATATATATATGTATATACTCGGACAAGATGATACAAAGAGGCAATTATATTATTTGTTATATATTAAATTTTCACAACTTGATATTTAAGTAATATGCTGTCATAGTTTTTATTACACAGACTAATGAGAGAGAGAGAGAGAGAGAGAGATTCGGTTTTAGCCCCCCCCCTTCCTCAAATGTTTGTACCTATATCAAACAAAAATTCTAAAAATTTTTCTAAATATATCAGGCAGTGAAAGTAACCATTTTTTTAAAATCAACAAATCCATTTTTTACAGTCATAATCGGTTTTTATTTTCCTGCTTCAAGTTCACATGAAGTCCACTGCATGACCTGTCAATCAAAATCATTCGACACTGTGCAGGTGTGAAAGTCTCGTCACACCGAAGGCAAAGTGTTAGTATTTCCAAGAAGTTTTAACATTTTTTCCTATCATTTCTAGATCTGATTCCAACATTTCTCAAAATAAATGAATAAATAAATGAATAAAATACATTGGGAATAAATACTTGGAATAATTAAGCCGCTTGAATTTGAAACATACTCCCTGCCAATTTAAAATATCACCGCCGGCACATGTATATTTTGAACTACTATTGTTTAATGACTTTGTTTAGATGCATGTTTGTTTTGAGACTGAAATTTTTGTGCTACAAAACACTTTAACTTCTTTTTAAATGTTAATTAAAATGTACTGGAAATACTAACTAAGTAACCGATTTAGGGGAAGGGGGGGGGGGCTCTTAATAATATCGAATGACAAACATTTAAAGTTACGGTGAAAAATATCATTACTGGAGAATCACTTTGGTTATACATGTATAAATGATAATCATGTTATACATGTAAAGGCATTTCTCTCTCTCTAATTAAAGACTTTATATATGTAAAGTAGAAAAAAATTCTTTAATGTATTACATTTTAAACAAATATTTTTTTTAAACCACACTATCAATTTAATTCGCTCTAAAGATATTTAATTAACTTGATATCCGCAGTACTGTTTGTCATTCTCAGAAAAAGTTCTAACATGTATTTCTGTATTATTTAAAAAAAATTGTGATAAAAATAAATATTTTCGTATTTTTGCTGCAGTTGGTAAATTATTTGACTTCGATTTTTATCTATCCATTAACGATTTGTCGTCTTTAACATAACAACAAAATGTTGCAGTGATTGAAGTATCAGTATTTTGCCCGTATTTAAATTTAATTTTCAGCATCGTTCTGCATAGGTACATACATGTACTTATAACATTTATTTTCCAGATAAATTTTATAAATAACCTAACAGCTAAGTTAGAATAATAAAAATAAATATTGTAGAAAATTTTTTTTCCATGAAATAATGATTCTTTAAACACGGTGTGTTTTTTATTAAATTCAAAACCTGTAAATCCTTACTTAAAAAAAGATAAGTCCTTTCACTTCGGAGTTCCGAATGACACTGAAAACTGAACGATAAGTGAACGCTGAACGCAAGGTGAACGCAAAGTGAACGAACGAAGAGCGAACAGTGAACGCTTTGTGAACAGTGAACGCGAGCGCACGGTGAACGCAAAACTGTGAACAGAGAGCGAACGGTGAACGCACGGTGAACGAAGGGTGAACGCATGCTGAACAAACGGTGAAC